GCTGAGAGTCCCTCCCTCCCTTCTCATGTTGCAGGAAGAACGTAAGCGCCCGCCCCTTGTCAATCAGTCACCAGATAATTTTGGATTGGTTGTTGTGGTGAACTTTTCCACCAATAGGAGAGATGTTGTGGTGTGTTTTTAATTTTTTTTGGCAAGCCTTCCGCCTGTAAGACCTGTTGCTAATGTCTGCATGGTATGTTTTCGTGACTCATACAGCGCGATTGAGCGCCGAACGTGATCAAAATAAGCAGAAACAAAGTATCACGGACATAATTTATCATAACTCTGTTTTTATTTGGCTTATCAACACAATTTAATAACTGGTATATAGGTTGAGGTCCTCACTTTGGAGATAAGTTGAAACGGAGAGTCAACGAGGCTTCGTCTTGCAGCTACATCAGGTTAAATATATTAAATATAAATACGCTGGGGAGCGTCAATCTACTGCAGAGCCAGCAGACAAAGTAGTTATGGCCACTGAGAGGCACACATTTGTCATAAGCATAATTCTTCTCACATTGGGCGCAGCTCATCAGCGTTATTGCAGCTTTTACTGTGGCTGAGTGCCTACCCATAGCCAAACGCCCTGAAATTTCAGCCTCAGTGTGCCTCATGGTTAATCTGGCTCTGGCTGTATGTGAAAAGATCTGGAAAAACTGTGAATTCAATATCATTTTACAGCAGACAAATGTAGTACTGTTTTTTGAGCACTGAGGTGCACTACAGGAACAACATTTGTCTTTGGTGTATTATTGACTTTGTGAAAGGTTTGAGGTCATTTTATCAAAAAGTATGTCATTTTACAGCAGACAAGGCTGTATGTGAAAAGATCTGGAAAAACTGTGAATTCAATATCATTTTACAGCAGACAAATGTAGTACTGTTTTTTGAGCACTGAGGTGCACTACAGGAACAACATTTGTCTTTGGTGTATTATTGACTTTGTGAAAGGTTTGAGGTCATTTTATCAAAAAGTATGTCATTTTACAGCAGACAAATGTAGTACTGTTTTTTGAGCACTGAGGTGCACTACAGGAACAACATTTGTCTTTGGTGTATTATTGACTTTGTGAAAGGTTTGAGGTCATTTTATCAAAAAGTATGTCAAATTCAGCATGTCTGCAAAAGAATTATCTAGTTTACTGGAGTAAACAAGCAGTTATGCTCAAATTGCTTTCTACTTTTTCCCTTAGATACATCTATATATACAGTACATCTCAATGTGGACATCATCAGTGCAGAAGACTGTTATTATTGAAATCCCAATTCTTGATCTGTGATGTAAGCATCCTTTCAAAAGCAAATACATAAGGATTACTTTTAATGATCAACACCAAAGTTAATGGTTGAGTGGAAGTGCTAATAATTTACATGGAAAATGGTTTAGCAACACAGATGTATGACACATAACTGTTCCATCAGAACAGTTTTTGTTTGACCACACAATGTGGCTGCAGTGCGCACATAAAACACATTTAAGTAAACCTTTATAAAGTATTCATTACAAACCTTTATTTACAAAAATGGTAAGAGCATCAAAAAAATCAGGAGGTAACACCAAAACACAAAAACTGCACTTCTAATAAGTTAATTAACTATAATACAAAATTACAAGCACACACAAGACACATAAATGCACACATAAATATATATAAAACTACAATGCCTCTCAATCTTCCACAACTCCTAAGTCAGAGGCATGGTGGATATTCCCCCCCTCCTCCATGACTTCTACGGAAACAGACACTCCTTCTCCAGCTGCTGTGGTAGGGCCTGCAGCTGCCTTTTCTGGTGGTAGACCTACACATGATTCAAATTGATGTTACTAATGTTTTACAATATCACTGTCACTCTACATAACAATGGGATCTGCAACATGTCAACATGACAATAAGAAGAGAAAAACATAACCTTATTGTTGGCTTCACATTACCAACTTATATCCTTTGTGACTAATTGGTAATTACAAACATTGCCACATACTTACTTTCCAATTCTGAATGATTGCTGGCAAGCTCACCAGCCTTATCCACAGTGTCGAACAGGTTGTCAGGTCCATCTAAAAATATTTCAAAGAAAATTTCACCTATTAGAAAGTTGCATAACAATTTTCACCAATGAGAATTACCCATATGACCCATGTAATACTTACACAAGCTCTCCAGACTTAGTTGGGCTGCCTCTAACTGTTTAGTCAGCATGAGGTTGGCCTGCTTTAAACCTGAAACTTCTTCTTTGTAACAGTTTAGCTCTCTCTGTAAACATTCAGAGCGTACTGTGGCAGCTTTCATTTGCCGTGCCAGCCTTGTTGTGGTGTTTATCACGTATGTATGGCATGCCATGCTCTCCTGAAACAGGGCACCCCTATCCAGGGTTTGATCCTGTATTGCATACTGGAACCAAAAAACAGACAGAAATAATTGATCATATTAACAAGGAAAACACAAATTAGGCTCATTTGAACCTAAAGACCAGTTTCAGACATCAACATACAAATTCACAGCTGGGATGAATACCCTGGGTGTGGTTACATCACAGGGGCTTTGTTAACCCTTCCTGGTGAACTACAATAAAAGGGGACACACCCAAAGTTGACGACCTAACACTTCCCAGTTGTTTTCTGTGCATTTTCTTCAGTAAGACACAGTTCTGCTGCCCACACTATCAATTATGAAATGAAGAAGCTTCTCAGATAAGAAGCAAAATGTCTTCTGAATTCTACACAGTCCAATTGTATTTTTTACGTTTTCAAGATTCTCCACAACAACACACACATTTTACCATAACTCTTATCTTTAATCTCCCAAGAACAACAACACACACACAATTAACATGCAATTCATTTAATTTCTCTTCTCCATCTACAGAATTTGTTCTCTGCAGTACTTCACATGTCTAATGTGACCAATGCAGCTGCTACCTACTTAATAACAAAGAAATGTTGTTGTACCGTGTTCACACAAAAACATTCTTCTTCATAATGTCCTTAATAGCAGAATACCTACCACTATTACATATATATAAATCTTCTCCCTATAAAACAATCTCCACACCACTAGATAATAAACCACAACAATTGATAACAGTCAAATCAGATCCCGTCCAACCTTTTAATTGCCAAACACAAAGTTTTCATCAACCACAGTCCAATTGAAATAATGTAAATCCACTACTTTACTCGTGTAACTATAAATAATGTAAATCCACTACTTTACTCGTGTAACTATAAAGTAGAATTCACATAAATAGATTGTGCTGTTCATTTACTTACAGATAAAACCTGGCATCTAAGGCGTAATTCTCGTACGTCGGCGTTGTCGCTAGCACCAGCTGGAAGTCTCACAGGTGAAGCCATCTGCAAAATAAAGACATATTGATTGCACACATGACATCAATAGCACATCATTCATTTAGATAGCACTTAAACAACCAAGGAGAACTTATACTCACCGTCATTTCTTGGTTTTTATATCTCGGTGCAGCTTTACAGCTCTCTTTTAAAGACAGTAAATTCTTATGCACGCACTCAAGCCAATCCCACACTACGATGATAAACACGTGACAATGTTACACACTCCCCCACCTGATGAGCACGTGACAATGCAATTCTCTCTTTGTCTGTCTCTCTCTATATATATACATATGTTTCATATCTGTAAATTTACTAACATTTCATGTGCACCACCAGATTCTCAGTATAGTACTATCTGACAGGTAGAATTGGTCTTTTTTTGTGTCTGTTTATGTCACGTTGTTACAGCGTTGGAAATAGGAATTTCGGTAGGATCCGCCCAACCCCCTCTCTTCCATAGTTAGAGGTGCTATGCAGTGACCAGCCCACAACCGGTACTTAACATGGCGTCGGCTGCTTAACTGAGCAAAACACCTATATTACACGCTTAGTCTGAATGTATACTTATTTTAACGCCGGGATTTGGTCTATGTGTAGACGTGATTTATTCTTCGCCCTCAATTTCATATTTCAATTAGTTTTTTATGCAAGAAAGAACTGTCATGTGCATTATTGATCGATTAATCCCAGATTACATTAGTTATGATACGGTGCAGAAATACGCACCATAGTATAAATGAAAACATCATTTACACGTGTAAATATATACTTAATTTCAACGTCGGGTATAGTCTATTTCTAGACGTGAATTATACTTCGCCCTCAACTTCATTTTTTGCTAACTTGTTCTGCAATTAACAACTGTAATGTACATAAATGACATTTAAATCGATCTTAAATTACTTATGATACCGTTGAGAGATAGAAGCATTGTATAAATGTAGACGTTAGTTAAACGTATAAATTTATACCTAATTTCAACGTCAGGATGTAGTCTATTTCTATACGTGATTTTCACGTACAAGACTTTCACATCTACATATAGACCGAACAAACACCATCGATTTTTAGCCATAATTCAACAGCTGATTATTTAAAAAGATACCTGAACGTTGCAGAGCTTATCTTAATTTATAAGACTGTATCGTACCCGGGAACAGCCCTGTATACACCCGTATGGAGATCATATCGTAATCGGACCAAAACATGACAACGGCTTCAGATCGGGACCGAATAACATCTGAGTGAATCACTGAGCTTTGTTCACACTCGACCACATGAACATGCAATACTTACATTTCGTTCGTACAAACCTGAATATTATGCACATATTCTACCACTAAATTTTGCAGGACTTATTGGTACAATTTCTGTGAGACTTTTAGGCTTTTCTCAAACATTAATCAATGAAAATATCAGGTACAGCCTTCATTTTAAATGAAGTACGGTCGCCGCCATTTTGTTAAAAGACGGCTGTACAAAGCAACTCTAACTATGGGGGTGGGGGGGTGGGCGTAGTCTATTGGAAGGTGTATTGTTCGAATTGGCTTTGACTGTAACCTCAGGCGCAAGTCATTAAATCCAGCTTTTTGATTGGTCGAGCTCCTCATGCTCCTCTTTATATGCGACTTTTTTCGTTGCTCGTGTAGTCTGATTGAACTCTTGGGGACAACAGACTACTTTTGACAGAGAGCGAGTTTTACGAGCAAATCTGTTTTTGAGGATTTCTTACATACTTCACTGATACACATTTCCAAAACACACATTTTACAATACATCTTTCACATTTACCACACACTTTCACGGTCACTTCGACTGAGTTCGACTTTTTTTTACTTACACCAATTTACGGAGCGGCTGTTCATCTCGTGTTTGAAAACTTCAGCACGGTAAGTCGTGATTTTATGCTTATTTGTGCTGTTTTGCCGTTGTTGAGGGAGAACTTTTGCTTAAACGTGCATGTTAACAAAACTGTTGTTGATGCTAACATAGTCGTGTTAACTCGATGTTTAAACGGGCCTGCTAACACAATATCTGAGGGCTACTTTGTTAGCAGGCCTGTGTAAACACCAAGATTGTTATAGCAGCGTTATTGTGTGACTTCACTGAACTCTCGGAGATCATAATTTGGCATTTGACGTAGTGGTGGAAGTGTACTGTATTGTTTCGCTGTTTTGTGTTCGCATCGCAAGGGGGCTATTGTTAGCCTAGCCTGGCCGGGCCATTCTGTTGCGTGAATCACTTGATGTTTCTTCTCACAACAATCTGGATTTAGACAGCGTGTATGCCCGATCAGAATATAGCGGGGCCAATCACCGAGTTTCCACTGTTACTCGCACAAAAGGGAAATGCAGCCCCTGAGTGGCTCATGTGTAATGATCACATCTAACACATGCTGCGGAACTTGTGCCGTTAATACAAATGTCCGTTTATTCAGAAAGCCGTTAAGTCTGCAGTTGAATCTGCAAAGTCAGCAGAAATCGTTTATATACGCAGAGGACGTGGGATATACACGATTTCTGCTGACTTCACAAAATGAACTGCAGAATTAATGGCGTTCTGAATGAACACAGATGACAAGTCCCGTAGCATGTGGTAGACGTGATTATTACACATGAGCCACTCAGGGGTTGCCTTTTCCTGTTGTCTGGGTAACAGTGAAAACACTGTCTCTGATTGGTCGGGTTATGTTGTGATCGGAAATACATGCTCTCTATGGGCCACACTCCAGACTGTTGTGGGAAGGAACATCCCACAGTGTTGCAGAGGACAGTTTGCTCTGTGTATGCATATCAGCAAATCAGTTTTCCAAGACGGGAGCGCGGCTGCGCATTGCTAGAGCGGAACATCATTTTGTAGTTTTTTAAACATTCCTGGAGTCGTGGTGAATTAAATCCCCGTACTTTTCTGGCTCTGATAAGTGAATAAAGCATATTTACAGCCTTATGTGTACTAGCACTATACTGGGGCAGCTGTTTAACCTTTCCACACCTTATTTTCTATATTTACATTTGTATTGAATGAACACTTTATCATGACAACACTTGTTTTACACACCAAATAATTTGTCATTCTCCAGTACACAGCCTTTACTATTGTTGTATACAGCTGCTTTATGTCATTTAAATGTGTTTGTTCAACATTTTCAAAGATATGATGAAGGTTCACAAAACTAAGAGAGCTTTCTTGAAAGCCACATCTATAAGCTCTCAAATACTTTGAATGTTGTTTTATCTACTACAGAGGCTGAGGCTGTGCAAATATCTGTCTTTTGGTGTATGTGTGTGAGTTGGGAGGTTAAAGTGGTGGTGGCCTGGGGAGTAATTTAGTCTACAGTTGCCACTGTTTACTTGAACTCCCTCCTTACTGAGAAGGTCACTTTTCCTCTGCCATAGTTTTCTCCTGTCCCCAACACTGCTGTTTCACGTCCATAGATTAGGCCTCCTCTGTCTTGTACAGCACCTACACATCAAGTAAAAAACAAAGACATTTGAGAAAGATATTATCCTTTTCTTGTATGTCAGTGGGCATCACAAATGTGATTCTCAAATTAGGTCACAGGTCAAAAACGTGTTATTTTCACTGTTTATCAAATATTTTTGTTTTCATGTGTTTTTATAACATAAACCATATGTTTGATGGATGATATGAAGTTTTACATATATAATAACATCTATTATACTTTCAGATGCCAAAACAGAAGGGTTGGCGTCGGTCACAGGCTGCAACCAGGCGACACGCTCAGCGCGAGTTCCTGATTGTTGGTCCGCAAGGCTACCGTGATGACATGCCTCCAGGTGTGTAACATTTTCTTTCAAAAATTTCATTTTCCTCTGCACGTCACTATATTTACAGTAACAGTTCCTTGTTCCTCTGTATCTAGGACAAAACACATTCACATCAAGTTTACTGTTTAACCCTTATAATGATACACGTGACTGTTGTGTCTTAAATAGGCACTGTTGGGACTGGTTATCGCCATCGTGTTAACCAGTGGCCTGTATCTGTGTTGACTGGTCGCCAACACAAATTGGTCATTCCTCCTGAGGTTCCCAACAAGAAGGTATGATACTGACATTCTTTTTTACCCTCACAACATATATTTGAACTGATACAGTATTTAATTAATACTTTTCTTCTTTTCATCCTAGTTTGTTCTTATTGTCGGTGACTCTCACCTGCGTCCATTTGTTGATGGGGTTGTGCCATTGCCTGAAGGACGGATGTCCTTTGGGTTCATGTCCACACCAGGGGCCTGTGCCGACGAACTGAGGATTGAGATGGTGCATGCTGCTGTGCCTCGCAATCCTGACTTGGTCATAGTCATGGCTCCTAGCAACAACCTAACAACCCAAGGGTGTCTTGAGAAGTCATCAACAGATTTTGCAAAACTTCTCTCCACTGCCATTGGGAGGTGGTTCAAGGTGGGGCTATGATCTAATTAACACATTTTGTAGTATCTCAATTAGTAGTTACACTCTGTAATAACTCTTGTATTTCTTGTCCTTCTGCTCTACTTGCTATTTTTATAGGTAATTGTGTATGATTTTCCACCACGGCTGAACCATCCTTTAGACCACCAGGATATCCTGCGGCAGGAATTCCGTCGAGTCGCAGCACGTATGGGTAGGTTTTACAACATCTTAAATTCAGTTTCATGACCAAATTCTACATGACAATAATATCATCACACAACCAATCATATAAAACATCTACAAAAAACACATACAAAATACATGTATTTTTTGGAATACATCACAGCTCTATACATTTCATGGACAAAGTGATAGAATACCTGTCCTTTGTGCTTTAAGTAAAGTATGCACATAGGTACTAATGTTTAACTTTGTCTGAATTTACATTAACAGGCATTCGATATGTTTGCCATGCTGCTGACGATTTCCCCCTGAGATACCGCATGCTGTGGTGCACGGATTCTGTAAGTACAATCCCTACTCATGTTATATTCATGTGGACTTCAGAATAAATGCACACAATTTTGCATCAGGCAAATTTGTGATCATGACAATTATCTTGTTTGCTACATAGGTCCATCTCAGTGATGACGGTGGGTCGCCTATTCTGGGGCAGCGTCTCTGGCAGGCAGCGTACACTGAGCTGGAGACAGTGGACCATGCATCACTGCGATCAGTGCAGCGCAGGCGTTCCCCCCCCCTGAGCACTGTCACACCAAAGGTGGTTGTGAAGGGAGAGGTGCCTGCACCTCAACCATCCAACCCCTTTGAGTGGACAGTGTGTGGAAAGGTGCAGAAGGTAAAAATACTATTCCTGTGTGTGTATATACGTATAGTACATGTATTTAATACAGTATGTTAATTTTCAACTTACTTATCACAGCAGAATCTCTCTGACAACGAGGTGAAGGACTCTGCTCCATGCACGCAGCAGGTTTGTCATTTTTTATATGGCACACCTATACATAATACAAAACCACTATCATCACAGTGGCTGTTTTGATTGCACACATTTTCTTTGATAAGACACCGTTGTCTAAAGTAGTACTTGCTTTATTCTATATTGATTTATCTCTCTCCTTCTCATCCTAGTTGTCAACAGTTGGGTTGCGAGATTGCTTTGTGCGTCTCAACCCTATCCATTTCAGTGCACACCTGCTGGATGCCATGGAGAAGATTTCGCCGTCCCAGGTTCCCAACCCTGTTCCACAAGATGATGAGGTCAGTAAAAATGTGAAAATACAGTTTCGCTTGTACTGTTCGTTCACATAAAATGTGTTGTTACACGACAACAGTGCTTATAATAAATATTTTTTCAATCAGATGCCACGTGTGGAACCACGCAGGACTGTGGTTGCATCTCGGAGGATCCCTTCCAAGAAGCAGGTTTGTTTCTTCATTAGCACACATGGTATATTCATATGCAACTACACAGAACTAGCTTTGCATCTAAACCAAGTTTATCATACTGAAGTGAAATGATAACATACAGAAATTTTACTCGGCCCTTAAGTTCAAAAGATATTTCTCTTTATTCATACCAATTCACATCTTGGTATTATCAGTTAATGGGCTGCTTTCATCAAAATGCTTCTACTTTCAACTATATTAGACACACTTTTACAATTTGCCTTTTTTAGCAATGACAATATATTTATGCACAAACTTTCATGTGCAGGGAAGGGCCTTGCGTGTGCACAGCCCAGCTGAGCCCCAGACTACTGAGGTGCCTCCTCCTGCAGAACTCACTTCACCTAAGGAGGACTTGGAGAGGGTGGCAGAGCTCCAGACCACTGCCATCCTGTCAGGACCCCAGCCAGAGAGAGGCACCCAGGTGGAACAGGTAAGTATACGTAAGCCTCCTCTTCCCCCCTCTTGTGTTTGGTGATTTTGATCACTCACCTGTGCAGCTTATCAGTGTGGAGAGCAAGGCTGTAGAGTTTCTGTGCACTGAAATTGAGGGTGAAATGTCTACCCCAGGTCAAGTAAGACACAGTGTCCTGGGATCGTTTCACCAGGCAAGTGATATCTTAAATAATCCTGGGCAACAGTGTATGGCAGTTGGGCTGGCTAGCATTGCCAAACACAGTGTCAAAAGCGTTTTCACATGGAGTGTGGATGATCTCGACACAGCTTTGCTCTGTGGGGATCAACTGTACACATATCTGCGAGACAATGACAAAATCAGTGGAAATACTGATTTTTTGTGTATTCCTGATTTGCCTGCTTCACACACAATTGATGGCATAAAGTTTGACTTTGAGTATGGTGATTACGTGTCTGGACTCATCAACCAGACTGATGGGTCACCATTTGCACCTGGGTTGACAACATTGCTACATGGTCTCCAAATTGTGTTCGCTAAATATGACACATGCTTTTTGACATTGCATTGCAGCACATGTGTGGTCATTCGTGAGAATGGTGTGTTCGCTGTTGTTGACTCTCATGCCCGTAACGCTTCAGGCCTGGTGGATCCTGATGGCAGAAGTGTTGTCATGTATTTCCATAACTTGCAAGAAATGCATACACATGCATTGACCTTGGCTGCATCACAGCATGTGAGCAACCAGGCTTTTGAAGTTGCTGGTGTGCGTGCAATCCCTAGAATGTCAACTATGCAAAGTATGTGTTTGCCATCCAGCTCAAGAGTAAATACTGACACACTGACTAGAATTAGAAATGTCCATGCAGATGTACATCAGGAAGTGTTGTACTCCAAGCAGGGATGTTCATCCAGTACATCAGTACATAGGAAGCAGGCCTTGAAACATCAAAGCTTTGTGCATGCTCCTGCTGCCAAGAAAGCAAAAACAAGCATTTTTAGTGATGATGTATTAATTGTTAAAGACACGAACAACGACATTGCAAATAATGGCGATGTTGTGTGCATTAATGATGCAATAAGCCAGAGTGACGATGATGTGGTGTGTGTTGGTAATGGAGCCCAACAACATTTAATGTTTCACCCCCTTCAGTTAGATGTTGCAACAGTTTTGTGCACCACTTTAGGAATAGAATGTCAGAAAGTTGATGTGGAAGGATTTGTAGCTGGCATATTAGGACCTCCATGCAAGAAGCACCCCATTGTCAGTGACGGCAATTGCTTCTTCAGAGCTGTGAGTTATGTTTTGTCTGGTAGTGAGAGGTTTCACAGGAAAGTCAGGTTAGCCATTTGTAAACATATTGAATGTCATCCTGGATCATATGAGCATATTCTGAGACGTGAATTTACCTCTGTTAAAGAATATCTCAACATGTCCAGAATGCGCTATGTGGGTAGTTGGGCCACAGAGGTGGAGATTCAGGCTGCAGCAAATTGTTTAGGGGTAAGCATTTTTACCTACATTGACGGTCGATGGCTTCAATACATCTGTCAAGGTCAACAGTTATCAGAACAGGCAGTGTATTTGGAAAACTGTAATAACATCCATTATGAGGCTGTTCTTTGTGTTCGCCAACCTAATGTGGACTGTGGTTGCTGTGATTTGTGTAAAGCTGGTTTTGCACATAGTACTGACTACACTTTGACAAAACTGAGCAAAGCTGTGCCCTATAACCTCAGAAAAGGATGTCAGGACTTCAAACAACAGAGTCATCACATTCAAAGTCCTTCAGATAATGAAAAAAGGTTGTCAAGATATTGTACAAAGAAGAAGTGTTTGCAAATGAAAATAAAGTACCACAAAGACTTCTTGGTTTACAGCAGACATAACCAAAATGTTAGGAATAGATATAAGCACAATCTGTTGTATCAACAGAAACTCAAGAGTTTGAGTATAAGTAAATACTTAGAAGACAATGTACACAGACAAAAGGTTAAAAGCAGCAGCATAATAAAATACAGAACTAGTAAGATTCACAGACAAAGGCTTAAAAACAGAAGTAAAGTGAAGTACAGAACTAGTGAGATTCACAGAGAAACGGTGAAAAACAGAAGTAAAGTGAAGTACAGAACTAGTGAGACTCACAGAGAAACGGTTAAAAACAGAAGTAAAGTGAAGTACAGAACTAGTGAGACTCACAGAGAAACGGTGAAAAACAGAAGTAAAGTGAAGTACAGAACTAATGAGATACACAAACGAAATCTTAAACTGAAAAGTAAAAGAACTTATGACGAAAATGACATACACAGACAAAAAGTAAAAAACAAGAGCAGGGAACAAAGTCAAGTGAAATATGGAAATAATGCATTTAGGCAAATCAAATTACACTTACAAAGGACAAAGTACCACGAGTTCCCTGCATCTAAGAAACGTAAAATATTACAAAAGAAGGCAAAACTAGAACACATGGACTTTGTAATTGAGCAGTTTTTAGAAAAAATCCAAGATGGGCCAGCCTTTGTGTGTAGTGTGTGCCATAGACTGTTGTTTAAACACCAGGTTTTGATTTGTACTAGAGAGAATTACCGTAGCAATACAAATGTAGCTGCTGTCGCAGCTGGATGTATTCAAGATGTCTTTGTGCATAAATGTCTTCCTTCTTGTGCCAAACCATGTGTTTTGAAAGCGTCCCCTCGTGGTAGTTTGTGGATTTGTCATTCTTGTCACGGCAAGCTCAGTAAAGGTCAGGTGCCAGCTGAGAGTGCAACCAACAATCTGACCGTTGATCCAATCCCTCCTGAGTTGGCTTGTTTAAATCGTCTAGAATCACATTTAATTGCACTCCATATCCCCTTTTTAAAGATGGTAGCTCTTCCTAGAGGGGGTCAAAATGGTGTTCATGGTCCAATTGCATGTGTTCCAGCCAACATTGTCCAAACTAGTAACGCGTTGCCACATTCAAACATGGAAGGTTCAGTTATTCCTGTTAAACTGAAGCGTAAACTTACGTATAAAGGGCATTATGCATACGAGTATGTTGACCCTATGCATATCAAGAAAGCACTGCAGTATTTGAAAGAGAACAATCCCTTCTACAAAGATGTGCAATTTAATGATGACTGGATAAATGAGTTCTGCAAGGATGAGAGTGCTGACAGAGAGCAGCAAAGTATTGTTGATGAACAGGGAGGATCAAATGCAGAGACCTCTGAGGCATCTGCAGCTGAAAAGGCTACAGCTGAAAGGACTGCAGCTGAGGAAGCTGAGGCTGAGGAAGAACTTCTGCATGATCGGCAGCAACATTGCATGTTTCAAGACACATGCTCAATGCCTGTTGATATTGGCCAGGAAGCGCTGGACCAATATTTTGATGGTGTTTTGAACTTGGCTCCAGCTGATGGACAGAACCCTGTGAAGGTTTTGACAACAAAGGAGAACGAGGCCAAGTGTTTCCCTGTGTTGTTTCCAAAAGGCCGTGGAACATTTTTTGATAACAGAAAATTTTCTCTGACTCTGTTCCGCTATTTGAGCAACAGGCTATATCATGCTGATGGTAGGTTTGCGCAGAATATTGAGTTTATTTTTTATGCTTGTTACATGCTTGAGTTACATCAAGTCATGTCCAGTGTGTCAATTGCATTGAGAAAAGGGAAAGCCAGTAAGGTTAGCACAAAGATTAGTGATGTATTGAAAGATGACGAGAGCCTGCGTAATCTTTTAAATCATGACAATGGGTACCGCTTTTTAAAACCTGTAAGGGGTACTCCAGCATTTTGGCAGGGAATTCAGAAGGATTTGTTAGCATGCTTACGCCAGCTTGGCAAACCTGCATGGTTTTGTTCATTTTCTGCAGCAGATTTGAGATGGAAGGAATACTTAGAGACCATTCTTAGGGCAGAGGGGCGAACGCAGACATTTGAGGATTTGGAGTGGGCAGACAAGTGCGACCTCTTGCGTCGTAATCCTGTACTCGCCGCTCGCATGTTTGATTATCGCTGGCATCTGTTTTTGAAAGAGGTGTTGATGTCTCCAGCAAATCCAATTGGCAAAATCCTCGACTACTTTTACAGGGTGGAGTTCCAGCAGCGTGGCTCCCCACACGTTCATTGTCTGTTTTGGATTGAGAATGCCCCTGTAATTGATGTGAATACAGATGATGAAGTTGTTCAGTTTATTGATAAATATGTTTCATGTGAACTGCCTAACAACACTGATGATTTACATGAGGTTGTTTCTTCAGTGCAGCAGCATTCAAAGCGGCACTCCAAAACTTGTAAAAAAGGTGGAAAACAGTGCCGCTTCAATTTCCCAAAGCCAGTGTCTGCTAGGACTTTCATTTCCAGGGCATATAAGGAGGTTGAGATGGAGTGCGTGTGTCAGCGCAACGTCCATAACATGGTAGAACAGTGCACTTGTGGCAAGGAAGAAAATGAGGAGAAGCACAAGCAGGAAGGGGAATTTGCTGTTAAGGTTTTTGATTTAATAGCTAAAGCATTGTCAGACGAGAACTGCACAATTCAAACTGCAGATGAGCTATTTGCGAGTATAGGTATACGACAGGAGACATTTGAGGCAGCATACAGGAGGTTAGGGAAAAAGACAGAGGTGATTATGCGACGGCAGGTTATTGATACGTGGATCAACCCACATTCCAAGACTCTGTTAAAAGCTTGGAATGCAAACATGGACATCCAGTATGTGACTGATGCTTATGCTTGTGTAGTCTACATCATTTCATACATCTCTAAAGCAGAAAGACAGATGGGATTGATGTTAGCAAATGCACAGCGTGAGGCATCTAAGGAAAACAACCTCAGTGCCAAACAGGCTTTGAAAAAGCTAGGCAGTGTTTACCTTCACAACCGAGATGTTGGGGCTCAGGAGGCAGTCTACAAGCTCAGCAACATGCACTTAAAAGAGTGCTCTCGGAAGGTGGTTTTTGTACCGACAGGTGACAATGTTGTCAGGATCAGCAAGCCATTGACTGTGTTAAAAGACATGGCTGCTGAATCCACAGAACAGATGTGGATGATCAACTTTGTTGACCGTTATAAAAACAGACCCAGAGATCATATATTTGAAGCCATGTGCCTTGTCCATTTTGCTGCTGAGTATCGTGTGCTCTACAAAGGTGAAAAATCCAAAAACCAAATTGAACTTGATAACGGCTGTGGGTTTGTGTTGAGAAGAACCCGTACACAGCCTGCTGTTGTAAGGTACGCAAGATTCTCTGAGACTAAAAGTCCAGAGTTATTTCACCAAAGCATTTTGCAGCTGTTTCTTCCGTATCGTACAGAAAAACAGCTAAAGCCAGAGGGATTTGTCACTTTTGAAGACTTTTACAAAACTGGCCGTGTCATCATTGGTGATGGACAGCTACGTTCAGTGAAGTCAATTGTGGACTCGAATCGCTGCAATTATGAAATAGATGCTGATGACTTAGATGAGGTTTTTGATTCTGTAAATTTTGATGGTCCTCTAGAAGATGCGTGGGGGCAGTTGTTCCCACAGCAAGAAACTGAACGCCTGGAGTCAATCCAGGAAAGGGCAGAGCAGATAGAGGTAGACAATGACCCAGTGGAACATATTCCTGATCTGGCTGGGGGTGTAGAGCAGGCTAAGGTAACTAATTGCAACAATTTAAGTAGAAGCGAGGGATTGGCATTATGCAGGTCTTTAAATGATGACCAGATGCGTGTGTTAAACAAGGTCCATCAGTGGTGCGTTGTTAAAGCAGCAGGTAGAAACCCAGACCCCTTTCATGTGTTTGTAACAGGTGGTGCTGGCGTTGGAAAATCGCATTTAATCAGAGCAATTCAATACGAGGCCACAAGGTTATTGTCACCAATGTGTCGACAACCTGACAATATCAGTATTTTGTTGACTGCACCAACAGGGATTGCTGCATATAATCTGCATGCAACCACCCTGCACAGTACATTTAGCATAGGGAAAGATGTTCGCCTCCCTTATGTACCAATAGGTGAAGAAAAGTTAAACACATTGAGAATGAAATATTGTGATCTCCAAATCTTGATAATTGATGAAATTTCTATGGTGGATCACAATATGCTCACTTATGTGCACGGCCGACTTCGCCAAATTAAACAGACAGGCACTCACACTCCATTTGGAAATGTGAGCGTCATGGCAGTGGGGGATTTTTATCAGTTGCCTCCGGTGAAAGGCAAACCGTTATACATGGAACCACTTGGAGTAGATCTTTGGAGCACTCATTTTAAGGTTGTCAAGTTGACAAAAGTAATTCGCCAGACAGACGAAGATTTTGCCGGACTACTGAATCGAGTTCGGACGCATCCAAAAGACTCAGACATGTTGCAAAGTGATATCACCACTTTGAAACAGCGCGAAACTGGCGAAGAATGCTCAGGTTTGCATATATTTGCCACAAATAGCCAGGTCAATGAGCACAACTTTGAGCAGCTGCAAAGAACATGTCCAGATTACCATGTAATACAGGCTCAAGATTATATAAACAACTCAAAGACAGGCAAACTGGAATTGAAAAAAGGCTATCATACACTAACATATAACACGTGTTTAGATGCAACATTGTTATTGGGTACTGGCTCTCGTGTCATGTTGACAAAAAATTTGGTTTTGGCTGACGGCTTGGTTAATGGTGCATGTGGCACAGTAACAGATATAGTTTGTGTTGAAAATGAAAAGTTTCCTCAGTGTATTTTTGTGAAATTTGATGATGAGGTCGTTGGTGTTGAGAGGAGGAAACAGTCAGGAAGGGTGTCAGATCATCTTGTTGGTTCCACGGCTATTACACCGGAGGAAGAAAGAGTGACAAAAAAGGGAGGTATGCGCCGTCAATTTCCGCTTCGTCTCGCCTGGGCCTGTACTGTACACAAAGTACAAGGCCTCACAGTTGATACAGCCATAGTCAGTATGAAAAAGGTGTTTTCTGCTGGTCAGGCTTATGTGGCTTTGAGTCGTGTCAGGACTCTTATGGGATTGATCATTCAAGATTTCAATCCCAAAAAAATCTATTGTCGGCCAGAAATTGCTCAGGCCACTTCAAGGATGGCTTCATTCCTAGAACCTATCACCTGGCAAGGGAGAGTGGAGGACACTTTGACAGTGTTCCTCATGAATGTTCAGGGTTTGAGACGCCATGTGTCTGACTTGGCTCAGCACACACAGCATTTGCAGCCAGAGTGCATTGCTGTGACTGAGACGTGGTTGCATCCAGGTTGTTCCTCAGAGACACTCAAGATAGCCAACTACTCTCTGCATAGTTGTCCACGAGCTCTGGCATATGATGGTCAAACTGCCCCCTTTGCCTCTTTGCAGGCAAAAGAACATGGGGGAGTTGCAATGTATTGTGATGGAATTATGCAGTTTGCAATCATCAAGGTGCCTTGTTTCAATGTGGAATGTTTGGTGTACCACTGCATAAACCTGAACATTTTCCTTACAGTCATATATCGGCCTCCAACCTACCCCATGACACTATTCAAACAAAATATTATCAAACTACTCAAATGGCTGGAACACATTGGCAAAAACATTATTGTCATGGGAGATTTCAACGATGACATATTGAAGTCATCTTCAATTTGCAAATTTTTCCAAGATAGAGGTTATGATCAGGTGATCACCCAGCCTACCACAGAGCGAGGCACTTTGATTGATCATGTTTATGTGAGAGGGGGCATTTTCCACACACAAGCTGAAGTAATGCCTTCATATTTTAGCGACCATGAAGGTATTTACTGCAGCTTTAAAATTTGTGATTAATCATGTACACTGCTGTTTTTGATATTATTAATGCTTTCCATAGAAAAGTAGATTTGAAAGTGTTTTAGCAGGTTTCCATACAGCTGGCAGATGGATCAATTTACAACACCTGGACGAACCATGATGTCAACACAAGTAACCACTTCAGGACATTGTTTGGATGGACATTTATGGTGATTGTATGCAAACTAACATGTGATACATAACCTCTCCACTTCATTTACACTTGCAATTATTTTGAACATCACAACTTGACTACAAAAAATTAACATTAGCAATGCGCCTAGTTACTATTTCTCCAATATGATGACTTCTTCATTTGTCAGCATGTAACAGATATAATCTCTCCTCTCCTCACCGTTTCAACAAATACACCATACATCTTATGATCGCTCCACCTGAAGACTGACAAGCCCATCATTACTCCACCTTTGGTGAGATGAGACCCTGATGGATTACTGAAACAATACACAATTGGTAAGTGTGAATTTCAATTTATAGTTAACTATTTTCATTCACACACTATACTACTTGTGTAAACACGCATTGTGTCTCTTCCTCAGAAGGGATGCATACAACAGTGGTATATGATTGTAATTACCATGAATTCTAACTGTGATTATGTAACTGATGTGTCATGTCTTATTCAAAACATGTACCCACATATTTATCCCATGACACCACCATCACAAGAGATATCAGCCACTATCAACTCCAGCCAGAAAATAATGCATGCTAAGCAAGTGTGTTATAACTATATGTTGATTGATTCTCATTATATAAACATGTAACTAATATATTGTCTCTTCTTTACAGCGTGTTACCAACCACTAAACCCACCACTACTCCAGGGATCAGCCTATGACAACTCCACCCAAAAAGAAATGCAGCACACACTTCACATGTACCAGAAATTATTTTTTTAATTGCTTCTCAGCTTTTTTGTAATAACAAGTCACATAATTTAATTTCATAATACATTTTGATATTTAATTTGTATTTCCTTTGTACCTCAATTTGTATTATATGTATTGCAATGTATTTTACATATATGAATTTTGTATGAATGATCACACCATTTTTGATAACCTACTCTAGGATTACACACAACACTATCTATGGTTAACTCTGGTGCATTTACATGCCTTTTCACTTTATTAATTGACATGCTTATCACTGTCCACTGTCCCTGATAAATAAATAAATAATAATATACATCATTTCTAATCATTTATTTATATTACATATTATCCACTGTGCTTGTACATGATTTAATTCATTTTACCATTCAAACATCTTCAGTTATTGTACTGACTTTCAGTGGGAAGGTTGTATTCCAATTGTGAACTGTCTACTTTATGATCAAATGTACATATAACATGGCACTAAAACACCTTCATTTGTACTGGGTGTATTATTGATCAAAGGGTTCTTCTTTAGCAAGCGTTTTGGTAGATACTTTGCATGCCGCTGCAAAGCTTCACATTTCAGGTGAAAAACTGGACTTGCTTGGAGACAAAGCACATCCCCCAAAAAAAAAAAAAATCTAAAAACAACACAATCAGCTCAGAGTGTATGACAACTTATCTATAAACTCACAAAATCTCTAAACCAAACATATTTCGAGACAACTGATCCCCTCTACTACAACAATCACAAACATAAAGGTCTGACACAACTACACCACAGTATCAAGACAAAATTAAGTTTTGTTTTAAGATTTAGATATTAAGATTGTAAATTTAGGAGAATAACTCATAAGGTATGTAAAGTCATAAAACTACTTTTATGAAAGAGGAAATGACTACAGCTGGTCATCTGCAGGGTTACCGCTCGATGTATCAGCAGGTGATTCACAGACTTATAGTGGTCTCTTAAGAGACAATCAAACTGATGATCAACATTTGTGATCCAGAGTGGATCATGCTCAGAGGACTACCACATCTCTGACACCATCACTAGCCTACACCTGCAGAGACAACAACACATTATGGCATATGGATTCATATCATAAATTAAAGCCCAATGTCATCAACAAATATTTACAACTGCATAAACAAAAATACCCTCACATATTCATTTCTGTCTCCACAAGCTAGCTTTTGTAGAGGTAGAAATTAATATACTAAGGATACATCTGTCAATGCAGCCGTGAATATCTGTGAATGACATTGAACTTTACTTTATGATATAAATCCATATGCCAGAATAAGGTACTGATGTCTCTGGAGGCATAAATTACCAACACTGTCTGAAACATAATGCTCATCAAAGCTCAACTCCCTCTGTATCACAAATGTTGATCATCATCAGGTTGATTGTTTCTTACATCCAGAAATAAACCTGCACATAACAAGCTTCAGAAATTTCCGCCTTCACAAAGGCACCTTGATGACTTTCAATACCTTAGGACTTCATTCTCCTAAATTTACAACCTTAATCTCTAAATCTTAAAAGAATAAAAAACATAAATGACGTCCTACTCCTCTGCTGTACATGTGTCACCTTTCTTATTTCTAATGTTTTTAATTGTTGAATCAGAGCATATCATTTGTCTCTAACTCATTACTGTTTGGTTTACAGATTGGAGTGAGCTCAGACATCATGCTCTCAGATAGCCTGAGCTGACTCAATGCTGTTTTTGGATTTCTTGTACTTTCTTTTAAGCCACACTGTGTCTCCAAGCAAGTCCAGCCTTCTGAAATTCAAACAAAACTAAAGCATACATAAATGCACACTTGAAAGATGCTAAACACGCTTAACATTTCTTAGCATCTCTTGCCAAATGGGACACCATAAGCACACTCATGACGTCATGCACACTTCAATGAACCATTCAACAATGCAGGAGTGCACTTAGTCCACTGCAATCTCTAAAATGAAACACAACCCTTGACTGTGACATCACAGTTTGAGATACAGATCAGCTACTCCTACTGTCTGTGACGCTCTACTTCACAGATCATCAAACTGACCATATGTGTAATGAGCGCATATTGAATGTTAATTAGATTTACTATATTCATTATTAGAAGAAATAACAACAGTCTTTTTCAACAACATTTCTTTTTACTACAAAATTAGAAAAATGGAAGCATAGTCCAATGGAACCATTCAAGTGATGTCATACCTCTTAATTTATGAATATGTTGGCTAGTCTGCACATTTCTTCATTCATCAGGTTTCCTGCATGCATAGTAACAGAGCACATCAATAGCAGTGAATGATAAGTATGAGTGTGTCATTATGTATGAACAGAAAGTGGTTTACTTACACATCCATAGAAAATAACTGGTTAAACATAGCACGCAAACAAAGCTTTGCCACAACACTGGAACTTCCCAAGTAGCCAATACCAAGGTCACACAATCATGGTGAGCAAAGCTCAAACCAGGCCATGCACTCACGACACTGGTTGCGGCAAGAGAAAGTGAAAGCAACACGCAATGGCAGGAAGAACAGCAAACGCGGATGAAGGAAAAGGGTCTTTACAGTGATGGGCGTTACCAGAGAGGGCAATGATCAGAGGATGCGTATGGGACGGGGAGGTAATCATGTTCAGGGGGGGGGGGGGGGCACGCAACACGGCTCGGGCCCGCCAGTGCCCCATCGGGGCCCTAGTCTTATTATTATTTTTCTGCCCCTTTGAACTGGAAAATGGCCCACTTCCCACTGGTGAAAAGTCATGAAATTTGGCAGGACGACCGGGCCTGGTGAAAAATTCGATATTCTGAAGTCGCCCAAAAAATCAAATGCAAAATGGCTCCATAGCGCCCCCTAAGGTGAAAAATTCACATGATTGAGTGTCACGCCTGTACGCTTTGTCAAAATGACACAAAATTTGACACACACGTGTATCTCAATAAGATCTACAAAAAAGTCAGTGCGGGCGTATCTGTCAAATGTACGGTTAAAGGTTTATTTCGCATTTTTTGCCGATCCGCACACATTGGAATTTCGCTAACTCCTCCGAAGGTTTTCGTTCCACCGGCACCACATTTGCTCAGGCCAATCTACACCCCATGGCCAATAAAAGTTGTACAAATCATGACGCTGCACCCCACGGTTTACGTTCTAGGGGGCGCCAAAGATAACCCAAAAATCCACAGTCTTAAAAGTCTTATAACTTTTTATTTTTGTCCTCACTGGCCTCCAAGTTCTCTAGGATGATGCAATGTCCAGCCATCAACACATTTGTGAAGGAATTTTTACTCCCCAAAAGAGCGCCCCCCCATGGCAGGAGAAAAAAGTCCATTTTTTCTTGTCTCCTAAGGCGAAAATACACATTGTTGACTGTCACGCCTTTACGCTTTGTCAAAATGACACAAAATTTGACACACACATGTATCTCAATAAGATCTACAAAAAAGTCAGTGCGGGCGTATCTGTCAAATGTACGGTTAAAGGGTTATTTCGCATTTTTTGCCGATCCGCACACATTGGAATTTCGCTAACTCCTCCGAAGGCTTTCGTTCCAACGGCACCACATTTGCTCAGGCCAATCTACACCCCATGGCCATTAAAAGTTGTACAAATCATGACGCTGCACCCCACGGTTTACGTTCTAGGGGGCGCCAAAGATAACCCAAAAATCCACAGTCTTAAAAGTCTTATAACTTTTTATTTTTGTCCTCACTGGCCTCCAAGTTCTCTAGGATGATGCAATGTCCAGCCATCAACACATTTGTGAAGGAATTTTTACTCGCCAAAAGAGCGCCCCCCCATGGCAGGAGAAAAAAGTCCATTTTTTCTTGTCTCCTAAGGCGAAAATACACATTGTTGACTGTCACGCCTTTACGCTTTGTCAAAATGACACAAAATTTGACACACACATGTATCTCAATAAGATCTACGAAAAAGTCAATGCGAGCGTATCTGTTCAATGTACGGTTAAAGGGCTATTTCGCATTTTTTGCCGATTCGCACACATTGGAATGTGGCTAACTCCTCCTAAAGCTTTTGTCCCATCGGCTTCAAATTTGCTCAGGTCAATCTACACCCCATGGCCATTCAAAGTTGTACAAATCATGACGCTGCACCCCACGGTTTACGTTCTAGGGGGTGCCAAAGAGGACCCAAATATCCACATTTTTAAAAGTCTTATAACTTTTTATTTTTGTCCTCACTGGCCTCCAAGTTTTCTAGGATGATGCAATGTCCAGCCATCAACACATTTGTGAAGGAATTTTTCTCCCCAAAAGAGCGCCCCCCCATGGCAGGAGAAAAAGTCAAGTTTTTCCTGCTCATCGCTCAATGGCTCAAAAGCATCGCTCTCTCGGCAAAACCGAAAGGAGGAGCAACTTGCCATTTGGATATATACTAGCTGTGTTTGTGCCCTCACTCATGGTCCAGACTTTTTTCAAAAAGGACATGGAGTTTGTCTGCAGCGAGCGTTTTGGTAGAAACTGCGCCTCCCATTCATTATAATGGTAAATGACCACAGACAAGTGCGCACACCATCTTTGGACCTTGAGTGTGACGCGATCAAGAGGGGTAGGCGGTCGCGCTGGGGGCGGCGCGACACGGCTCGGGCCCGCCAGTGCCCCAACGGGGCCCTAGTTATTATTTTTCCTCCCCTTTGAACTGGAAAATGGCCCACTTCCCACTGGCGAAAACTCATGAAATTTGGCAGGACGACCGGGCCTGGTGAAAAATTTGATATTCCGAAGTCGCCCAAACAAGAAAATGCAAAATGGCTCCATAGCGCCCCCTAAGGTGAAAATTCACACTATTGACTGTCACGCGTGTACGCTTTGTCAAAATGACACAAAAATTGACACACACATGTATCTCAATAAGATCTACAAAAAAGTCAGTGCGGGCGTATCTGTCAAATGTACGGTTAAAGGGTTATTTCGCATTTTTTGCCGATCCGCACACATTGGAATTTCGCTAACTCCTCCGAAGGCTTTCGTTCCACCGGCACCACATTTGCTCAGGCCAATCTACACCCCATGGCCATTAAAAGTTATTCAAATCATGACGCTGCACCCCACGGTTTAGGTTCTAGGGGGCGCCAAAGATAACCCTAAGATCCACATATTTAAAAGTCTTATAACTTTTTATTTTTGCCCTCACTGGCCTCCAAGTTTTCTAGGATGATGCAATGTCCAGCCATCAACACATTTGTGAAGGAATTTTTACTCCCCAAAAGAGCGCCCCCCATGGCAGGAGAAAAAAGTCCATTTTTTCTTGTCCCCTAAGGTGAAAATACACATTGTTGAGTGTGACACCTGTACGCTTTGGCAAAATGACACAAAAATTGACACACACATGTATCTCAATAAGATCTACGAAAAAGTCAATGCGCGCGTATCTGTCAAATGTACGGTTAAAGGGTTATTCCGCATTTT